CGTTTAATCCTCCTTTCAGTTCCTCTTTCGCTAAAAAGAGATAGCGGCAGCTTGAACGAGTAAGAAGATTGTGGCAGTGCTTATATATTGTTTGCAGTCGTTGTAAAAAGAAAGGGTGACACGAGTGGTCGATGAGAGCTTTGACTTTTTTTGTATATTTTACTCGCTAATTTTACGTTTAAGTTATTGAAAATATTTCGTGCCATTTTGGTAGGTTTGCTTGCCGACGGTCGTCAAAATGTTTGCTCACATCACAAGGTAAAGTGATTTGTTTGGTAAGATTTTGTTTTCTGAGCCAAGAGAGAACAAAGGTTTACGTACGAGTAATAAACTACATGTATGCTGTCATAAAACCGAAGAAGTTATCCGTTTATGACAAACAAATTATATATCCAGTGGCCCAATAAAGCAGCGCCAAGAAAATTGCAACCTTTGACCCTTTCTTGCCCTAGAAACGTGTTATATATGCGCGGTACACTATCGTCCCAGAAAATAGACCTCTTTAACTTGTATGTTTTGTTTTCCCAGTAGAAGTCCCAGGGGAACTTAGCCCTTTGTCTTTTCATAATTTAGGTGTAGATATGCACGTGATGACGAAGCAGTTTTCTAGAGTATTATCACGTGACCTGTATTGACACACAAGCTAAAGAGGTCTATTATATGTTCCAAGCGTGAGAAAAAATTTGCAGTTGGGGGAGGGGGGGATGTTTCTCGAAAGACCCAGTAATTACCGGGCGCCGAAAGCTGTTTTTAACGTTTCAGTAGTTTCGCAGATGATGTAATAAACTTATCAGTTTTAAAACAAAACAAAATGGACCTGCGTTTTATTCTATACATATTATATTTGGCTTTGGTTTCGAAAAGTTACCGTAACTGAACAGTGCTGAACGCGGGAGAAGTTGTAGCCGGTGTTGCTATTGCAAGAAATCGATGTGCATGGTTACGAAAAGCTCAAACATTCAACCCCTTCAAAAATCATTTGCTTTTAAACTCATAAACATTATTTTTCTTGTAGACATCACGAACTTGTCTTCTGTTACACCATAATCGAGCATAACAACAGAATGATGCTTCCGGTTGCTACAACTTCATCATCCAGCAGAGCTGTTTCCAGCCTATCTTTCATGAACCAGCTGGATTCATTTTTCCCGTTTGACCCCTATCTCTTGAAACGGTAAGTGTTATATTGTTTTATAGATAGTTTTGTTGAAGACTGCGATAATTTTTTCAGGAAAACATTCCAGGTTGTGGTCACAAGGTGCTTTAATGCTACATAGCTGTCTACATAGCTTTCACCTTTCCTAGTCGCATTACGGCGTTTTCCCAGGCCCTCTCGGTCAATTCATTTCGGTGACGTATCTTCACTTGGACCCTCGTCCAATCGGACATTTGACGCAATATGGCCAGTGCTGACAATGTGCGTTCTCAGTTAATAAGTTAAAGCGCCAAGAACTTCTCGAAAGGTGGATATGGCTTTCTACTTGATAACGCAATTGGTTTCCCTAACACTCCTCCACTGAATTGTGATTTATCCGGTGGATAGCGGTATCCAAATTTTGAACAAACGGGGCTAGACGTAAAGCTGTTTAGTAATGTCCAGGGTTGAGACCACTGAGTTTTAAGGTTTGTTAAGCTGTTGGATATGCTATTCGTTTGTAAGTGAGTCCTAAATCAGTCGCCGTTTACTAAAAGGCTTTTATTCCTACAGTTCCGGCAAATTTATCTTGCCCATTTATCAGGAATGGGAGGGACTTGAACACGGTGTGGAGGAAAATGATAACGAAGAAGAGAAGCATTCAGAAGCCGAGGTACTAAACATTTTCTTATCGTCTGGCTCTTGTTGTTGTTGTTGTTGTTGTTGCATTCGTTTTTCTTTTTTCAAAGGCGAATTATCGCGGGGCGTGTTCGCCGATCCGATAAAGCTGACTGGGGAACCTATCGTGGGTCAGTGCTGGAGAATGCCCTCTCTTCTCGCCTTTCCCATATTGCAGAACGTAGTTGACAAGGAAGTGTCCGTATTAGCAAGGTTAACTTTCCATAAGAATCTGTTGATTGGACAAGTGAAAAGTGTCCGTTGTCCACTTTAACGGATTTCCGTATTAAGTGGGTTGGATTTAAAGAAAATGCAAGGGTTTTCCCTAGGGACAAAAAAAAAAGTGACTGTAATAGAGAGGTGTCCATATTTAGCGGGTGTCCGTGAAGCGGGGTTCGATAATAAATAAACATAAGCACACTGAGTTTTATATGCACTCACAAGTTTCGATTCCAAACTCTTAACTTCAGGATGAGGGTGAGGAGTATTTGGAATACTGCACAAGCCCGGACGCTACCGTACCAGGATTCACTCCTGAGACAGCCATGTGCATCTCTCCCGGGTTCACCGGCTCCTCGCCCATGAGACATTCACACATGATAGCAGGACAAGACGTGCATAGATCACGGAGATAACAGAACATGATGTGCGGAAGGCGAGAAGGGAACATGGTATAACAAGTACAAAGCCAATAAATGGCGGGAGTTGTCTGGAGCAAAGCAAGAAGTTATCAACTGAACAGGATGCACAAAACCAAGAGACCAGCAGAAGGCGATGTACACAAGGGTCAGTATTGGTGCACCGCTGGCACGGCTCGGCAGTACCCCGCCAACACAGGGGTTAGTATTGGTACACCGCTGGCACGGCTCGCCAGTATCCTGCCAATACAGGGATCAGTATTGGTGCACCGCTGGTTCGGCTCGGTAGTATCCCGCCAACACGGAGGGGCAACTTTCTACGATAATCGAATATATTTACAAGTCAAGTTACAGAAAAGATAATAAGAAAGAAGCAAATCGAAGTAAAAAGATAACAACAACGACAATGATAACAACCCTAGACTGATACTGAGGAGTGAGGCAAATGACTCAAGAAATGTTGAACTCACATAGCTTGATTTTTTATGAGGTAGTTGGCGCAAACATCGCATAAATCACTATTAAGCTAGATTAGCATAAACTAAATCAACAGCTCGATCCACTTGTTTAAGGTTTTTTCGAGTGCAGGTCCAACTGAAGGTTTTAGGATTAGGGCTAGGGTTCGAGTTACAGGCCTTTTAGTGACACCTGCGTATCGTTAGATTAAATCCTCCGTTAGTTTGGCTCGTTACGGTACAATCTCCCTGTCTTGCTAGGGCGAGGATTCTGTGCTGTGGGGCTGCCACACATTCGATATTCTCACTACAGAGTATAACTACCATTTACGATTGATAAACCATAATAAAGGGTTACTAAAGCAAGATCAAGCTTTCACTCAGAAGAGCTTGTAAACGGTTCAGCCACTCGGTCACAGTTGTAAATTTTAAGTTGCTTTATGTTAAGTTTCCAAGGACAACAAAATATATCAGTATGTATGTAAAACTTCAATGAAAAACGTCACGTCATTGTCATTAAAAGTTTTTCTTTAAGAGTTTTTCGGCCTCTTTCCCTTTGCCTGTAGAACTGTAATGTTGGGATTATCAATATTATTTTCCACTTCCCATGGAACACTTATTGGAGCGCCTGCCTCGCATGGGAAAGTTACAAGCAACAGATCTCTTTAGCTTTGGTTGGTTGTTTGCCCGCCATTTGTCGAAGAATTTTTTCTGTCTTTTATTTCAAATGCATAACGGGATCTAAACAGGTAAACAAAAAAACAAACCCAAACGGGTATATTGCTTGTTTCCAATTTTGCGTGGGATACGTATAAATTAAATCGGGGCTTGTGCTGTATAGTATAGTATATATGTTTTCACTATTCATTCAAAATATTTCGCCTTTCCTGATTGGCTCAAATCTCTCGGGTAATTCTTCAAAACAAGCCGGCGTTGACCAAGTTTGAAAGATGGGACCAATCACACTATCGATTCAGCGGTATATTCTTCTGGAAACGAGGCTGCTTGGGCAATAGTGATTTTTTTAAAAAAATGGGGTTTACGGCTATCCTACGACGGATGTCAACCACAGATGACATTCTCCTCAAACGGCAAAATTCTTCACATCATACTCGGCCTCATTCAGTAATTGTTAAATATCGATAACACTCTCTGCCCCTTTCCCAACAAATGCATTACCACTCCACTCTAAAAAAACAACAGATAGTCTTAATTTCAACATTCTTAACTAAGATCCCTTCTGAGCAAGTTAAGTTTTTTCCTTCTGTCTATAGTTCTTATAACAATGATATGTCTATTAATTTGTTGTAGGATTTTTCCACGCTAAATTTTGTCTGAAAAGACAGCCCGGGCGAATCTTATGCTGATGTTAATGACATTCATGTCGCCTCACACGAATTTGCGGCGGCAAGAAAGATGTCTTTCTCACTTTGCCACGGCTTATCCGACCCTGGCTAATTGTACGAATAAATTACTTGCTGCGTTCTGTAATGATCAGTTTCAGATGCCTAGCTGGCAAAGTTGTAAAAATGGTATTGGTCTGAAATAACACTAGGCAAACTGAAAACATAGACGAATGGTTCTTTTAGCAAGTCAATTTAACGCAAGTTTTCCATCAATTTTTTTCATTTGAACACGCTTCAAGGATACAGGATCCACATGCTCTTGAACTTATAACCTTCAAGACAGTATGCGGTGACGGTCTAGATATGTAGATTTGTGACATATTTTTTTAGAAAGTCACATAATGTAACCAAGATATCTTACTCGATGGAATATAAATTTAACTCACGGTTTTCATCATCCGCTAATTACGCAAACATTGGTTTTTCATTGCAGAAATACTGTAGCTGAATTAAAATCTGAGTTAATTTACAGCTGATTTCAGTGCGGTGTATACACCCTGATTTTTAGACATGATTCGACGGTCATGATTCGACCGTCATGATTCGACCGAGAGGTTACCAAGCAGTATAGTATTTTACCTTGAATATCCTACAGGAATCAAAGCATACAATCTGAAAGTTACTTTGATGATAGCTTGAATATTTCTCTTGTAATTCAGAAAAAGAGGACTGTGATCCATAATTTGTTCTCCTTTTCCGGGATAACAGCTTCTCATACAGTCACGCAATCTAATCGCAATACATGTTATCGGGCGTGTGGACGTCTCGATCAATAAGTTTTTCGGCTCTTTTCTCAACTTGTTTTGGGCTTTTACCTTGATCTTTAAGGAAATATCATATTTTACCCTTTTCCAAAAAAAAAAAAAAACAAATTTTGCTTTCTTTTATGTATGGTTTTCTTTATTTGTGCTTACTAGGGTCATAGGTCGAGGATCGAACATTGTGATATTTTTTCAACGGTCGACAAAACAAAACTTTCAAACCCTCCAGCAAATTCTTTCACAACGGCAGACTGATCAATTTATCTGTTGATTTCTTCGGCAAAACGTCAAGGTTTCCTGTTATTTTTTTAACCATGCAGAAGCTAAGTAAGGACGAAAAAACCAACTTGAAGAAATACAAATTTGCCTCCCTGTTAACTAAATTTGCATCACTGTTACATGTAAATTGCGGGTGGTATTCACCAACGGCAAAACACCGAAACCTTGTCATACGGAAGAAGACTAACGATTAACCGTCGGACTATTTCGCTTTTCGCTGTGTTGATAATATTTCGTCCATTATGAAATCGCCTACAGAAATACATTCGGACTCGGCAATCGAACTCCAGGTTTATCACCTGATCAAATGTTATCATAATTTCTGTATCATGTCGCTGCTTTCCAAGCAACAAAGCTTTCCTCTTCAGGTAAAACGCATTTGTCGGGATTCTAGCTTCGTTACACTTATGTACTTTAGTGCTAAGCTTTCCAGCCAGATTTTTCTCTCACTCACAGGAAAAAATAACGGATTCCCATTTTTGGATATTTTAGGGTATTTAAAGAATACCCATAAAAATCCCAAATTTGGCAAAGTGAGACAAGTCCCAACGAGGGAATTCCCAACCAAGTTCCCTGATTGGGACTTGTCTCACTCTTCCAAATTTGGGATTTTTGTGGGCATTCTTTAAATTCCTCAAAATGTCCAAAAATGGGAATCCGTTATTTTTTCCTGTGACTGTTTCGGATCCCACGGCAGAACTCTCAATTATTTTCGCGACCGTTTACGCACTGCGAAGCGATACGTCACGTGATTAGTGTCGAATCATGACAGGTCGAATCATGACCGTCGAATCATGTCTGAAAATCCGGGTGTATACATAGTAATGAAATCAGCTGTAAGCCTTCACAATATTAATGAAGAGAGAGTCGGCGGATGAAAGCCGGCTGAACGCGCCTTTTTACCATCCTCGGCAAATGGTCGCTAATGGAGGTTGGCCGCTTAACAGGGGTTTTTCATAAATTCAAAAACTCATTAATAATTCATAAAGAAAAAACAAATGAAATTAATGTTTAAAGTGTGTCTTTATATCTGATAAAGACACGGCTAAACTTTATGTCCAATTGTTTGGACCAAATTAACCCCAAATCTAAATTTTACTGCAAGAATGAGTTGATCTGTATAAGAGATTTTTAAGCCGTTCAAAAGCTGGCAGTCGTGGATTATCAGGTTTAAAAACTCGACTTTTTCAACCTGATAAAACACCCCTGCTCGGTTTTTATAAAGACAGTACTTGACTTTATAGGGGTAGTGTGGCCAACAAATCAGGACAGAAACAGACACTTGAAAATAAAAATAATAGGTAAGAATCACTATTGGCTCGAGGCAAACAACATTGAAAAAGATAACATGTTGGTTTTATACAAATAAGCTATCTATTAATGTTAAAAAATCTAATTTTATCATATTCAGACCAAGACAAAACAGGCAAACACTTGATTTAGCTTTTAATATTAGTAATTATTCGATTGACCGTGTTAAGGAAGCTACTTTTCTTGGTGTAATTTTGGATGAACATTTAACATGGAAATCACATATACATAACGTTGCTAGGAAAGTGTCTAAAGCCATAGGTATAATTTATAAATCAAGTTCTTGCCTTAATAATTCCTCCTTACGGATGCTTTATTTTAGCCTTATCTACCCATACTTATTCTACTGCGTGAGCGTCTGGGCATCGACCTAACCATCAAACCTCAGAAGATTAATCACACTTCAAAAATGGGTCGTAAGAATAATGTCGAGGAGTGCTTTCGATGCTGACACTGACCCCTTATTTAATAATTTAAAAATTCTGAATCTTGAGAGTATCTACAAACTTCAAATAGGAAAATTTATGTATCAATACAGATCTGGCTTACTTCCTTATAGTTTCAATAACATGTTTCTGGTGACACGCCAGGTGCATTCTTATGGCACTAGAAGTTCGGAGCATTTTCATTTACCACAATGCAGGACTAATATAAGAAAGTTCTCCATCAGTTTCCAAGGTCCTAAATTTTTTAACTCTCTTAGTTTTGAAATTCGAAATGCAACAAGTACCGCTTCCTTTTGCTGTAAGCTGAAAGCATTCCTCTTATCATAAATAGTAATTTATATATACATATATATATATATGTATGTATTTTTTTTTCTTCCTTTGCTCTTTTATTTTCTTTTGTTTTGTTTTTCTTTTTGTCATTTCTCTTTTTTTAGCCTAGAACTATGATTAGTACGACTATCTAATATACTTATTTTGAGATTTACTGTAGCTCTGCCATTGATTTTCCCGTGTGTAATTATGATAATATTTTGTTCTAATTATCTAACTGAGGGAGCCCATTCCTTATAAGCCCGGTGGCTTCTCTTGGGCTTCCTCGCCATGAGAGTTAAGGTAATTAGATTTTATTTGATTTGTATAATTTTTGGCAAACAAAACAATAAACAATAAACAAATAAAATGGCTATTTACAAGAGTGACCGAGGAGTAGAACTCTTAATTACCGAGAAGAAAGCCGGTTAGCGAGGGGATATGAACTGGGGCCTCTAACCGTTCAGCCGCGCTGCCTTCTCGAAGCAGTTTTAGAGTAGTTTGGGGAAAGCCCTCTTTGGGTGCCCCTGCTTCTTGGTCAGACGAGTCATAGACTGCGAGCCTTCTCTCTTTTTCTTCAGATTTAGTGAGAGCAGTGCACGCGCGAAGGAGCGGCGGAGCCTCTTCCGTCTTGCTCTATCAGTCACTCGCGTCGCTATTTCCGTGTCTCGCGTTTAGCTTCACGGAATATACCCGACGGAGTACAGAAAAAAGAGACACTGCTAGTCTAACTCCCGTCTCGCGCCATCAGTCATGCGCGTGGCCATTTGTGTGTCTCGCGTTTTCCTCGACGGACTCCAGAAAAAAGAGAGACTCCTAGTCTAGACGAGTCATCTCTTGAAGTACTTTATTCAGCAGAGAGACTTCTTCTTTAATTTTCAGTTGTTTACACCAATCACATTTCCGTCACCTCTAAATTGTCCAAATTGCCTCAACAAATTTTTCACGCTAGCTCGAAAATCTCTCTTGCGAAAGGAATAAATGAGTGGGTTG